TGGCATAGTTCAAGTACCGTGAGATGCTGCTGGAGAGCAGATTGGGAATCCAGGTCCAAGATTGGGCCAGGGCTCGGTAGAGACCTGAGGGGACCAGCTGGGGATCCTGGAGCGTGTGACTGAGGATGAGATTGTGGGGGGGCCGCGACTCTTTGGCCCGACAGAGAGGCTGGGTTCGGCCCGCGCCCCGAAGCAGCCCGCAGGCTGAGCTTGGGCTCTCCCTGGTTGCCGCTCCCCTGCCGGCGGCCCACCCCGCGCAGACCAGCCGCAGCTCTTGCCAGCAGCTCTTCTAGCGCCGGCAGGGCGCTCTGAGGCCAAGCCCTGGAGGAGACTCTTGACTCTGTGCTAGTGCTCTCTGCCCCTTCCCTTGAGCCCATTAACCCCCGACCTCACCCCCAGCCTCTCTTCTTAGGGAAGAGGTGAAAGAAGAACAGAGAGAGAGATGATTAAAAACAAAACACACACAAGCACACAAGCTTTTGGAGGGCAACACTCCCTGAACAGAAGGGATTGCAAAAGTGGGCAAAGGCTCTTAGTCTTCTCTGCTTTTGTTTTCTAACGTTCAATTCAATAACCGCCCTCTCCATCCAGCACACCACACACACACACACACACACACACACACACACACACACACGCACACACACACACACACACACACAGAGTAAGAGCTGTTTTACAAGAAAGAGATGGGAGTACGGATGTTGGGACAACTAGCCACCCAAAATTTTAAATCATTTCCCTTGTTTGACATTTGTTGTTTTGACATTAATGGCACTGATATTATTGATAACCTTTCAAGGAGGGTAAAAAGAGCAAAAGAAATAAAGAACATGCAAAAGCAATGATCACCTTCCTTGTCCACCATGGCAGCAGTGGACCCTTTCTGCACCTGAACCTGAAACAGACTTATTGTTCTCAGGTGTTTCCTTCATCACCCGCATTTCTCAGTCTGCAATAGCAGGAAATGGTTTTTCCATCAGCCAGCTTGTGCACTGAGCCCTCTCCAGCAATGGACTTGATCCTTGCTCATTTGAACCTGAAACTTTCCTCTGCCTTCATTTCCCCCTTAGCCTCTTGAAAAGTCCCACCTCTTCCCCCATGCAGACACCTCAAATACTTTTCTTATTATTATGTTTTTAAGCCAGGATGCTTGTTCTCTGGGGTATTTTTCTGTAAACGGCAACTCTGCATAAAGCATCCTCTTGACTTACATGTTACAGAAAATTTCAATTTTACTCCTGTGTGCCCCGTATTTCCCGACCTCACTGAGATGCAAGGGGAGGCTGCCGGTAAGTGCCTGGTGCAGTTGTGCCTGCAACCGTGGGGCTGTAACCAAAATCACCTTAAAATCTTTGAAACCTTTTCACTGTGAATAGATTTCCTTCCAAAGAAGTTCGAAATGGGAGTCTTTGAAGACAGGAAATTCCCCCCACTTTGTGTTACCATTCAGTCCTACATGTGCCTACTCCAGATTTCTAAAGTGGCCTTGGCTTTTTCTCTTCCCTAAGACCATATCAAGGTCTTATTCTCTGCCCCAAGCCTCAGCATTTTCATTGCAAAGTTAGCCAGTTGCTGAAAGCAAGCAGCTTTCCAGAGATGGGCCTAGGTCTGCTCTTGGGGGAACTATAATTGTACCCTTCCAGGTGCTTTCATTTCATTTGCATCTGTCCTAGGATGTAAGGAGTATCCACTGAGAGGTCCGATGGGTTAGGCCCAGAAAGAAACGTTTACCCTCTCTGTAGTCCCAATGCTGTGCAAGAAACCTTTCTGTTGGTATTTGGTGCCTTTGGTTCTAAGGCCTACAACAAGGTTTTGAAGCAGATCCTGGCAATCCAAAACTTCAAAGGCCTGTCTGCTCAGAGGAGGTTGATGCCTCACCTGTCCAGGAAGCTGGACAGTGCTGGCATTTCCTGTTTGTAACTCATTTGATTTCTTACTCTTTACCTTCACTCTGTGGTTCCTGGTTTAAAACATTACATAAATGGTGTCTACTTGTGACCTCTGGTGTACCAGTGTATCAAGATGCAGAGTAGCAATATATATATATATATATATATTGAATATATTGAATATATATATGAATATATATATGAATCTATATATCCCGCACATTCAGTAGGGGGTATTTAAAAGTATGTCTATTCCGAGTGTTAGTTAATTATCTTTTAATGAAAGTGTCACTCATATTCACATCTGTAATATTGGAAAGAGATAATTAGATTTTCAAATGAGAATCAGCCACCTTAAATTTTGCACAAGAAAATACCAAGTATATTTCACTCTAATGAGATCTGTAGCAGGGTTTTAAAATTCATCATAATGTGCTTCAAGAAAGATAACTCAACAGACTAGAAAGATGAAAGGTTTTCTTCCCTAAGTCTTCTTAAAGCTATTACATTGAACTTACGCGATCTGATAAAATATTCAAGACTATTACATAAAAGCTAGCACTGTACCCCAGTATCAGTATTACACCCCGGACTTACTCTCATTTGGAAGTTTACTTTAACTAAACTAACCACTTCCATCTCCCTTGCCCTGGGTTTTCTCTATTGCGAATGCGGGTGCAGACAGTTTAAACGGAACGCGTGCGGATCTGAGTGCGGATCCTCCTTTGAAAGAGGCAGGGCTGGTTGGTGTTTGCACACAGGCAGGCACTCTTCATTTACATACATCTGCATATTTGCTCAGGCCCCAGCAGTTCGCCATTAAAGTGCGTCCGAGTGCATAGTAGAATAAACTATGTTAGAAAAAAGCTCTTAATTACCCTAGCTCATATTTCTCCTTAAAACTCCCCAGTAAACAAATCTCTGGTCCGATAGTAATTACTTTGCTTCATTTAAAAAAAATCTCGAATAGTTAAAGGGCATTTCTTAGAAACTATGTGTGCTTTATATTCTCTCCTCGGCTCTCTCTGTGTGTGAGTGTGTGAACGTGTGTGTCTAATGAAGTTTGAGAGTTGTGCGCGGGGGCGCATGGGGTGCGAGCCCCGGAGGTCCCCATCCCCTGTCTCCTCGGTCGCCTAGTCCAGGCTCCAGCCACAGCGCTGGGAGCCTTGGAAGTCGCGAGGCTCCCGGGCTGCTCTGAGTCCCGGCTGCGCGTCATTTGCAGTCTGGGGAATGTTGATCACCTCACTAATTACACCTCTCTCTCCCCCCCTCCCTCTCCCTCTCCCTCGCTCTCCTCTCTCATTCCCAGAGTGCATATCGGGAATAGACACACAAAGACATGCGCACTCAACTTAATCAGCCATTTTTTTAAACAGGGCTAAAACGATAATAATTAGCAGAATAAAGACATATCGGATTTTCATTTCCTTTCCTCCTTTTCCCAACCCCTTCACAACCAAACAGCGAGACCGCGGTCGGCACATGCTTTAACTCCTCCCGGACCCCCGAGGACCGCTCCGTGCCCCCCACTTTCTGCTCCAGCGTTTTTATTTTCACCCAATAAAGTTCGAGGATTATTTTTTTTATTTTTTTTATTTTTTTTAATGAACCCTCTCGTTTTACTTGGATGTGATCAGCTGTACGTAAAATAAAAGCAAAACAAAAAAGAGGCGAAGATCGAGTAGGAACTGCAGGGGAAATGGAAAGTAAGTTTTTTTCTTTAACTTTTATTGAGTAGTTTGTGTTAAATTTAGGTCGAGTATCGATTATCTTTCCAGGCTGATCTTGCACAATCTTTGATATTTCGCTCCCTCTCTCTCCCTCTCCCTCTCCGCCTCTCTCCCTCTCTGCTCCTAGCTGGCTTGCTCCCGCTCGCCCTAGCACACATTCCCTCATCCCGACTATCTCTTCCGCTCTGCCCCCCTTTTCCATCTATTTCCCCCGTTTTTTTGGCTCAAAGGTTTGCTCTGCTGAGGGAGTGAGAAGGCACGGGGGGGGGACTGATTTTCTACTTGGGGGAGGACTGCTTTTCGGGATTTAACTTTTGGATTAAGTGGCAGATCATCCACTTTCGCCCAGCAGTTTTGTCCTTTTCCCTGTCTTTCGGGTTCTGCCTTCACCGGGAGCCGGAGACACTCTGGTAGTCGGGCGAAGCTGTCAGCTCCGCAGCGGCGCGGACACTGCCTGGGGTCCCCGCTCGCTTCTCGCCCCTGCACCCCGTTGAGATGACGCTTCTTCGGCACAGATCCTCCGAAAGTTTGGACGTTGGTCGGTGGGGCTTGGAGCCCCCTCTCCTCTCCTCTCCCTCGACCCTCCCCTGCACCTTTTTCGGGTTTCTTTTCTTCTTCCTTTACCTTCCCCACCCCTTTGCAAGTTCCCCGAAGGGAGCTCATTGCGCGGGGCAGCTGCAGGCCGGGGCCAGTGCGCGCGGGGCGCGGGCTCAGGAGGATGGGCGAACGCCGCCGGGCTGGGCTGCAGGTAGACACCGGTCCGCCGAGCCGCGGCGGGCAAAGACAGGCCGGGGCTGCTTTAGGCTGTGCCGGCGCCGCGGAACCTGGCAGGTCCGTTAGGAGGAGGGATCTCCCGGCCTCCGGCTGCGGACCTAGGGGTGGAGGCAGTTTGCCCGGGGCTTGATCGCCGCCCTAAGAGGACACCCGTGGCTGGGGATCAAGAGCCTTTGCTTTCTTTTCGGTTAAGGGCAAGGGTGTGTGGTGTGTGTGCCTGTGTGTGTGTAAGTGTAAGGGGGCTGTGACCGACTGTGGAAACTGGTTCATTCCTTGCCCCCAACCCCCCACCCCACTCCAGGGTTCCATGTCTGCAAATGAACTTCACCTCCCTAGCTTCAGCCTGCACCACGCGCGCCTTATGGCCCGAGCAGCTAGGCAAGCGAGCAGGGGCTGGAATTCGGCGGGTCTGTCTTTTTTTTTTCTCCCCCCTTCTTCCTCCCCCCCTTTCCATTCTTTCTACCCTTTTCTATAAGAAAAGAAAATAATAAAAATTCTCATGGAATTGTATAAAAGTTCCTCAGCGATGGTCAAGTTGCAGAAGGTTCCCTATCCAGTCCCCTTCCCCAGAAGACGGTGCACTGGTTTGTATTTCTTTTGTTACCTGTGATCCGGGCGGGGGGCTCCTTGCAACGCTGGGTCTGGGGTCCGGCCCACATATGAAGCTCCGGCGGTGCCTTCGGCTGTGTTTCCACAGTTCCGTGCGGTCCTGGTGAGGTTTTAGCTACCGTTCGGTGAGACACCCTCCTTGTAGGTACCAAAGGTTCAGATCACAAACACGGACACCCCCCCAACACACACACACACACACACACACACACACACACACACAC